AATGAGAAAAGTTAAACTATAAACAGAGTTTAAAGAAATAAAATGAATTTTGTCAGGTTGTGTTAACACACAGACACAAAAACCTTTTTCTCTAAAATATATGTTTAGATTATAAGTCATCAATTTGTTTTAAAATCCATAAAAAATACCATTGTGGTTAAATAGCTCTCAAAAATCATTATTTTTATGATGTTCGACTCATATAGTTCAGAATTGAGACTGATTAAATTTTTCTAGTATTTTCAAGCTTTATGGAATATTGTAATTATTAGCTATTTGATTAAATGAAATATTTTTATTGAAGATAAACTTTCTTTTTAGATCTTATTGACCCAAAGGTTTCAAGCTCTCGTGTAAAAATCGATGAGTATTTTGGCTTTTGCTAATTACTTATTTAAAACATACAGTTGTCCACTAGCACTGGGAAGGTTAGGACATTGAAAGCAGTGCTCTGCTCTAAGTAGCCTGGCCTATATTTGGACCGGGAGCACTATGCAAATTAAACATGACCACGCCACACCTTAAAAACAAAGAAAGAAAATAGCTCGCCGGAATCAAGAAAACTAGAAATCTATAAAAGAAGAATTCTGAGAGGTGAGTAACCAAGCACTAAGATGTCGGTTTTTACTCTACTGGCTGCGATACTTGGTCGACTATGAAGACTGGATTACTGTCTAAAATGCTACATCCTGGAGCAACAAAGGCAACAACTCCCCATTTTGTAATGCGGTGCAACTCCAATGGGGAAAAAACCTTAAATTCCGTAGACTGGAAGCAATATAAAATCGGAGGGAAGTAGGCATTTTCTATGCTATGGGAGTCCCTTGACACCATTCCTGACCTATCCATACTTCCAACTCCTTCACCTCAACCCTACGTATTTGTCAAATACAGCATTTGGAATTGAATTCTTAGTGGACAAATGTGTCAGCTCCATTTTTCAGACCACTTGGCGTGACCAAAAAAGAAGTAAGAAGAAAAAAGAAAGTTGAACATGAAAATGGAAGGAACTCCGATGATAAGCTCTACACCATCAATTAGCAATTTTCTCGTTGGCAAATGGCGAAATCATAAGGAAAATATATCTTAAGTATGAGTTAAAGCTTAGTCAGCACTGTATTAACCTTCAATCAGCTTGTCAAGTCAGGCATTCTTGAGTTAAACAACAAACTAAATAGTGTGTTCCAATAAATACTGGTTTCGAGAAATTTTTATTTTCTTTCAAAATTATCAGAATCGATCAGGGACAGTCAACAGAAGGAAAAGAAAGAAGGAAGGAGAGAAAAAATGACAAGAAGAAAAATTAAATCAGAGATTGTCTCTATCAACTGTATCCAATTTATAAGATTAAAAATTCAAAAATAATAAATTGTAAAAAAAAATATTTCTAACATGAACGTTATAGTGATTTAGTGATAAAAAAAATCAAAAGCCATGGTGTTTCAGCACTTAACACTATAGTTTCAGTAGAAGTAAATATTTCCATTTACTGATAGCGCCGATTTAAGGATTCATAACTCTGATTGGATAATGAGATAGATAGAAAGTTAGATGTTACCGCCATACTATTTCTAGTGGTTCATAAGAGATAACAAACACATGACTGAACCCTGATTGGATCAGGCGCTAATGGACTCGACATACAGGAGTGACTTCAAAGTCGATCCATTCTTGAAAATGTATAAAACTATTCATGGCAGCCTTAATCAATGTGAGATAAACTTGAAACAGTGCTTAGTGCAGTAAACAGTTTTTTTAAAACTTTTATTGTAAAATTTCTCCTCATATGCAACAAAGGTTTTCACACCCGTATAAGTCCTACAGAAAATTATCAAATTATTACAAAGAACTTTTAAGAATATTAAATAATTTATCACAATTCAAAAATTTATAATTGAGTTAACCCTATCCCAATTGAACTATTTTTTCTAATATAGATGGGGGACTTTCATATGATTTCGCCCTTAGAGTTGAGATAGGAGAGTGTGATACATGTCCTTAGTCCAACTTTTCAAGGTCCTCTATGTTTAATGGTTAGGGCGCAAGTGAGGATTTTTAAAAAGTTCAAAAAATATGTCGGGAAAATGTTCAAAAAATTTTTTTTTTTACTTTTGACAAATATTAACATTTGACACATGTTATTATATCCATTTTTAAAGGGATAAGCATTTCTGATTTTTTTTAAACATCGACCAGCGGTTTGACTGTCTTCCTGCACCCTACACTATTATACATAAAATATAAATATTTTGCTAAATTTGTTCATAACTAGAGGTTGAAAATGTGAAGAAGCTTGAGTGTTCTAATGTAAGCTGTCTTTAAATTATCTTTAAAAAAACACAGGGGGGGAATATCCCCGCCCCCCCCCCAATCGTGATATGGTTAGCACTGCATAAAATGAAAGTATAGTTAGTTACACTTCTGTTAAATCTTTTATTTTTTTAAAAGAGATTTTTTTGTCCCCAGGACATGATCGGCTTGTTACGATCAAATCTCGGAATTTTTCTATTGCGAAAGTTTGGTGTTGTTTGGGATTTTATATTGATCTACCAGGGGTTGTAATCTGGCAGCACATTCATCCATCCACGCTTCATTCATTCTGAGAAGAGGGTTGACAAGATTCCAGCTGCCTAAGATTCTTCTTAGGCCTGAGAATATAGAGTGCAGGAATCCTTCTGATATACTGGAATGAGGCCCGGGTGCCATACTGATAGGAAACATCACACTCATTGCTCCCTAACATCTGTAAGCCCGGATTGGATACCCCCAGGTACCTATAGCTGGCAACCATAGACTCTCCCTGCTTGTCCACCATTCCTCTCTTCATCATCATTCACTTGGATCAATCCCACTTGAAGCTTCTTTCTTGTTCAGTAGAAAGCACGCACCCGTTCGCTGCGAGAGTTGTTGCCAGCCGCCCCTCTGTCCTCTTACATCCGTCAGGTGGTCATAACTGCTTAACTAGATGTCGGCTTCAGATGTTTTTGAAACCACAGGTTTTTGTGGAGTACGGGAATCGAACCCGTGAACACCAGTCTGGACACCAATCCAGTTACTGGCTGTGGACAAGTGTGCTTAACTTCAGTGATCTAACGAGAACTGGTGTCACACACTATCCACCCCACCCCACAAAAATCTTTTATTAATAATTGTCTATAAGTCATTTGTGTATAGTAGAACAGTAAATACTATTTAATTATCACATTTGTTTATGTTGTCTAATGTCTATAGTTTTTAGAGCTTATATTTAGATTTAAGCTTGTTATTTAGACAATTTGAAAACTTTTCGAATATGCACAAATAATGGACATTTAGTTTGGGAATTTTTACATTAAGGTTGAAAAATAATAAGTAGAATATTGTCTAATCAAACCTCAATAAAGAATGAGCTTAGCGTGTTCCTTCTCTTTAAAAGATTACAACTTAATTTAAAGTCAAGTACAGGGTTACCCACAAAGAATGATACATAAGAGACGACTGTACAGAATTTATACCGTCTGTTTTCGCATGATTCCCTGCAATTGTAAACTGTTTTTTTTTTCATTAAAGTCGGTATTACAGTCTCATCCTTGTATGAGTAACCCTGTATACAACAGTTTTATTTTGTAAGTAATGGAAAAATTAGATATTGACATTTCATGAGAATAGTCTGGGCTGGGAGACATTATTGAATGCACTTTGTGGAAAGTAAAAGGACTGGATAGCAGACTTCAATTAATATTTAATCACGAGTAAATACATGCAGTGTTCGAATTTAATGAATTTAAGTAGCCTCTCAAATCCCCCAAAACCCGGTTTCAATTGAGCGCCGGCTTAAATCTTGAAAAATTTAATAGAATTTTAATTGGAACCAACCATATTTGAGCCGCAGCTTTAATTCTTTAAATTCGGCTTCTGGTTAATATATCCATGTTTACGTATATCCTATATCCAGGTTTACTATTTCGTATATCCTGTAACTCAGGTTAATATATATCCTCTATTCAGATTTACGTATATGTTATATCCAGGTTTACGTATATCGTATATCCAGGTTCGTATACCAGCTATATCCAGTTTTATGTGTATCCTTATTTAGGTATATATATATATCCTGTATCCAAGTTGATATACAATTCCATATACATTCTGTATCCAATTTATACATATCCTATGTCCAGATTTATGTATTTGATCCTGCATCCAGGTTATATATAACCTGTATCCAGGCTTATATATATAACCTATTTCCAGGTATAGGAAAGAATATAATAGAGTCACTAAGTTTTATGTATCCTGTATCTAGGAATAGTAAAGATTACTATAGAGTCACTAAGTTTTATGTATCCTGTATCTATGTATAGGGAAAGATAGTATAGAATCACCAAGTTTTATGTATCCTGTATCCAGGTATAGAAAGGATACTTTATATCCTGTATCCATGTATAGAAAGGGTACTATATATCCTGTATCCAGGTATAGAAAGAATACTATATCCTGTATCCAGGTATAGAAAGGGTACTATATATCCTGTATCATGTATAGAAAGGGTACTATATATCCTGTATCCAGGTATAGAAAGGATACTATATCCTGTATCCAGGTATAGAAAGGGTACTATATATCCTGTATAATCCTGAATTAATGAAGAGGATTAGCATATAAGTTCTCTGTCGTAAACCCTAGTTTATGCTGGTACTAGAGAAACTAGAGTCAATGGTAAACAAAAGTTTATATCCGCATTAAACCCCTCTTTGTACTTACAGGACTACAGTTGGGGAATTCCTCTTTATCTTAAGTTCTACTTCCGGTGTACTGCGTAGTTAAGGTTCCATTTCCGGTATTCAGCTTGGCTATAAAGATTTCTCTTTTATCGGTATTCTATTATTGAATGGTTCAATTCCAGAGATTAAATCTTGAATCTCAAGATAAATAGATACATTTTCAGCGCAACCACTATTTTCAACTTAAAATATTAGGAACTTTTTTTGGGGGTTGTTGTTGAGATAAAAAACACTCAATTTAAACCTAAAGTGTAATTGTTAGATAATAAGCTAGAAATTATAATTTATTGTTTAACTGACATTATCTCATCAATTCACAGATCACGTTAATTTCAGGATATTCACTTTCTATTTTTAGCACAGCTTGGTTTTTTTCTTCTCCGTAATCTGTACTGCTTAGCTGCAGTACGTTTCACTTTTCTATACTGTACATATACAAGCATAGTTTCATGCACTTATTGTCTTTACTTGTACATAATTGATTTTATTTCCTCATTGTACAGATAGTAAGAGCAAGGTTGAGTCCAAAAACAGCTCCAGTAGTGATACAAAGTCCTGCCAGAGCTTTCCCTGCCGGAGCTCCGTACTCCGGGTGTGAGTAGGAGCTAAGGGTGATAAACCCAACCGTGAGAAATAATCCTGCTCCAGCTATACTCACCAGGCTCTCCTAAACACAGATAATCCTGTTAAAATTAATAAGGGGATTAAATTATGTCTAAAAAAGGAACTGATCGATCGGAACTTTTGTATGGAGTATCGTAATATAATCTTGAATGCTTGATCTCGATATCATTATCAATATACATTTTTAACTTTAACAGTTATCCCTGCAGGGTATAGACAATCAAGGGATATTGAAGAGGAATTGAAAAAATGCAATTTGTTCTGAGATTCGCAACACAAAATTTATGAACAAGGGGCGGAAACGTCATGGGGGTGTGTCTGTACCAAAAAGGTGTGTGTAAGTGATAACGAACCGAAGGCGTGTAGTTTAGGTATATACAGTAGATAAGAATCTCGGTATTTGTAGAGTCTAGGAGAATTTATTTGTTTATTGTTAATTGTTTACTTAAAAATAAGTTTAATATGCATGTAATATATTATTTATTTATTTAAGTCAACACAATAAGCCAAAATTTCATGCAAAGAATATAATTTGATTAACGTTTACAATAAACAAGTCGTTATTCAAGCTTAATTGTAATTGACGACATATTGTTCTGCAATTTCCTTGACTGTAGTCATGTTGTGTGTCTGTGCCAAAAGAGTGTGTGTGTAATAACGAACTCGTCTGCAAAGCAGTGCGACTGGCTTTCTCATACCAGACCAGCGCCATTTCCCTTCCCTTTATTCTTATTACCCGCCACAACTTCGAATTTTTTCTAATCCTAATATCTTTAAACCTTATATATTTCAAAGCGTGGATGCGGCTAGAAAAAAAAACAATTCCTGTTTAATTTATCAAATATGAATACCAGTATACCATCATATTACAGGGATTAGAAAAATAGAGTTTTTAGTTCCTTAGATAATCCTGTTCTTAATAATCATCATTATGTCTTGAAACTTTTCCACAAAAATTTCAAATTTTTTAAATCCTGAAACTACAAGTATGATTTTGCACTATATTTTTTACATTTAAAGTAGAAATAATGGGTCGCAAGTTATTCAGCTAAGAAGTTCTATGAAAGGTACGTTTTAAGCATAATCATTGATAAAACTTTTTTTCAGAAATATCTATTCTTTATTTTTCTAAGAGTTTAATATTTTTATCATTTATGGTAAGAGTTCTTTTAGAGAATTGAGTCTTTGCCAAAACCTCAGATTTTCTAATCCCTATATCTTTGCATGTTATAGGTTTGAAATATTAAGGGTTCAACCATCAGGTTATAATGATATAGGGATTCAAAGATTTTGACGATCGTTGACAATGGGTACTCGTTAGCAGTCGTTAACGAAGAGTTGTTTTTAAAAAACGAAAACCTATCGTTTTTGAAAACGACCATTTTCAAAAAACAATATTTTAAAAAACTATCGTTTAAATAAACGATCGTTGTTTCGTTGTTCGTTTTTTTCTTCGTCTTATTTTAACGAAACGATCGTTTTTCAAAAAGGGGGAGACGATCCATCCCTAGCAGCAAATAATCAGTTTCCTGGTTTAATATCCGCTCACTTCCATTCCTAGCTTCAAGTTTATAATATAAAATGTTAAATGTCCTAAAACATTTTAGTTATATTTTTTTTATAAAGATCCTTTTGTCAAATATGTTACTATAACTTGCAATGCAATTTCAGAGTTCAATTTTTTGTGGGGAAGTGTTTGTGAAGTTTTCCATGAAATAAATATTAACTTACTTGCAGATGTGCTCAGAATTTTTCAATTTTTGGGACAAAATGGCAAAAAAATGCAATGAAATTTCATGAAAAATTTTTATAACGAAATTGTGTTATATTTTGATAAGGTCGTCAGATAAGAAACCGACCTCCATTTTCTAATCTTATTTCCAATTTCCTTTTTCCTCTGATTTTCTATCCACAACACTGATTCAATTACAACCCTCTCTGGGCTAATATACAGGTTTACCCACAAAGCATGGAATCAACTTTAAAGAGAAAATTTTGGATATTTTATGCATCCTTAATGAGACCCAGGGTGCCCTTGTGAAAAGGAAATACACTCTATAAATGGGAAATACCACTCTATAAATGGGAAATACCACTCTATAAATAGGAATTACCATTCTATAAATTGGAAATACCACTTTATAGATGGAGTCACTTGAAATTCCTTTAACTAGACTTTATTCAAACAAGATACTAAGTTCAGCCATCAGTTTATAATATTAAAAGATTATTAGGTCGTCATTCAAATTTCGTCCTTTGAAAGTATCTCTGGATTCGTCAAAATATCTCAATATAATTACTCCATGAAACTAAAATTCTGAGATACACAAGAATATATTATAATATTATATATTTATATCCACAATCTGAATACAGGTTGAGAGGAAACCTTTAATATTCTGCTATATCTCAAGTTTCCAGATTTCTAGTTTAAAACTTTAATAAAAAGATTTCATGATATTGGAAATCTAGTTTTTTACCTTTTCTCTAGAAAAACAATTATCCAATAATTCAATACTCAACTAAATATAAAACAGTCATTGAGATAAAAAAAATGGTGAACTGATGAACTGATGAATTGATGAACTGATGAACTGATGAGCAGGTGAATTTATTATAAAAGTTTTCTGTATAATTGATAAACTCCCAATACACAGATAAACTTCTAGAGTAGTTTACAAACTTTTCCTTTTAGTTGAGCTAGAGAGCTGGAGTAAAGGATATACAGGGTTACCCAAGAATGATAAGACTGTAAAAACTTGAAGCTCTTGACAATTCCAAGGTTAAATAAAGTATTCTACCTTGAATAATAATAATATAGTTTTTTAATATTTTTTTTAATGATTTGTAATATAAGGAACAAATGTTATCAGTTGCAGGGTATCATGAATGTAAGAAAACAGTCAGTAATAATTCCGTACTGTCGTCTCTGAAGTCTCATCCTTTATGGGCAACTTGGTTTATATAGAGAGAGCAAAATGGGCTCTTTTTAAGTTTGCTTGGCAGGGTTAGTCAGTGCATTCATGTTTTAGTTTTGCTTTGGCCTAAATAGTTTAAACTTTGGTTTGTTTTCACCCAGTTTTCTAGATTTGGATTGTTTGGGCCCAGTTTTCTAGATTTGGTTTGTTTTGGCCCAGTTTGCTAGATTTGGCTTGGTTTGGCCCAGTTTGCTAGATTTGGTTTGGTTTAGTTCACTTAGCGTTGAAATAGGTCATTTGTAGGGTTATGTTGGCTCAGCTAACTTATTTAATGTTTTAAAAGACTCAATTTTGGTTTGTTTTGGCTAAGGCTCAGTTCGCTCAATGTTATTATGGGCTCAATTCTGGTTTGTTTTTACTCAGTCAACTAAGTTTGCTAAGAAACAATTTAGATTTGTTTTAGCTCAGTTAGCTCAATGTTTGTATGGGCTCATTAACTCAATATTACAAAAGGCTCGCTTTAGGGATAGTTATAGCTCAATTAGCTGGTACAATAGACTCAATTCAACGTTATGTTATAGGCTAACTTAGCTCAATATTATTAGGGGCCGAATTCACTATTTGGGGTTAGTTTTAGCTTAGTTAGCTCAATGTTATTCCTGGTTTTAATTCAGGTTTTTTCTCGGTTAGCTCAATGTTACACTTACAATAGACTCACTTTAGGGCTAGTTAGGCTAAATTAACTCAAAGTTATTATGGGCTCAATTCAGGTGTTGGCTAAGTAAGCGAAATGTTATTATGGGCTCAATTCAGGTGTTGGCTAAGTTAGCGAAATGTTATTATGGGCTCAATTCAGGTTTTGGCTAAGTAAACTCAATGTTATTATTGACTCAAATCAGGTTTTAGCTGAGTTAGCACAATGTTACAATAGACTACAATTAAGGTTAGTTAGACTAACTTAAGCTCGAAGTTAGCATGGGCTCAATTAAAGTTTTGACTGAGTTAGCTCAAAGTTATTATGAGCTCAGTTCTGGTTTTGGCTCAGGTAGCTCAATGTAACTTTGTGCGAAATTCCGGTTTGTTTTAGCTCAGTTAGCTCATTTTTATCATGGGCTCAATTCTGGGTTATTTCGGCTTAGTTAGGTAAATGTTAAGTTAGCATGAATTGAACTCAGCTAGCTCAAAGTTATTATGTGCTCAGTTCAGGTTTTGGCTGAGTTAGCTGAATGCTATCCTAGGTTTGGACTAGCTGAGCCTGTATATCCAGGTCTGAGTTCTATTATGGTGTGGAGGACGGATAAAGAGAAATATTTTGATAATCTTCCATAAATGTGTCAAATTTTGATAAATACGACCTAGTATATATAATAAAGGGGCACACCACACAATACAGAGGGAGACTATACCCCCCAACCCCCCACTCTCACCCTGAACTAACCAAGGTGAGATCCATTCGGTTTCTTCTTTTTTGAATTTTATCCCGTTTTGGTTTAGAATTCAACAATATTTAAACTTACTGAGTTGTCTTGTTTTACTTGTTCATTTAAAATGCAACCGCTGACAAAAACAAATTTTGATCGCAGTAATAGTTTTCTTGGATAAGGACCGACCTATTAAATAAGCGTACATATCCTAGCCTAGATAAGAACCAACCTATTAAGTAAGCGTGCATATCCTAGCCTAGATAAGAACCAACCTATTAAATAAGCGTGCATTTCCTAGCCTAGATAAGGACCGACCTATTAAATAAGCGTGCATGTCCTAGCCTAGATAAGGACCGACCTATTTAATAAGCGTGCATATCCTAGCCTAGATAAGGACCGACCTATTAAATAAGCGTGCATGTCCTAGCCTAGATAAGGACCGACCTATTTAAAGCGTGCATATCCTAGCCTAGATAGGGACCAACCTATTTAAAGCGTGCATATCCTAGCCTAGATAGGGACCGACCTATTAAATAAGCGTGCATGTCCTAGCCTAAATTTAACAATAGAAAAAGAAAAAATAAAGAATAAGAAAAGAATGATAACTAAATTTAAGAAATAGTTTTTGGTCTAAGTTTGATATATTTGGAATTTTCTTGTAAAATGTTCAGTTTGTTCACCATATATAATCCGAACTTGGTAATATTTTGATATTAACTTCAAAAGCAAACAGCCCGTTACGCAGTATTTTAAGTTTAATTTGTTCTAAATTTCCACCAACCAACCACCTACCAGTTCCATCCAATAACCTTTTTCCCAAATTTTGCCCCCCCCCCCCCCTATTTCTGTACATCTCTTTTTATACCAACCAATTTCCCTTCAACTTCAGGTCCAATGCCATATCACTTTCAATCCTTTAAT